TGTATATACACTTTATTGAAGTCTTATATTTAGTGTTATTGATGTATTTTTTTGATTTATTAAAGCATTTATAGTGTTTCTCAACGTATCTATGCATATCTTAGTTTTTCTCTGATACGCATGCATATCCAAGGTGTATTGCCTTTCCAATATATTTGGCGTTTTTGATATTTTAAACCTTACATGCATATTTGGACTATCACTTACTCTCTTGTGATGACCTTAATTTATTTCGAGCCTTCATCTAATTTGACCATTGGAATTTTTACCCCAGGTAACACTAGGGGTGTCCATGAAAAACCGAACCGAATTGAGAAAACTGAATCGCAAAATGCGGTTAACCGAACCGGTCGATTCGGTTTTGGTTCGAAATTTTTGAAAAACCGAAGGACCGGTTCAGTTTTTGGTTAACCTATAAAAAACTTACGGTTAACCGAACCGATAGGTATATATATTTATATATATATTTTTAATATATCACATATTTTCTATGTATTTTATATAAATATATATTCATTATATATAAATATATATTTATATTATATTTATAAATATATTATATATCATTTATTATTTATAATATAATATTATACATATATTTATATAATATATATTATAAATATAAAAAACCAAAAAACTAAATCAGTCAAAAATCAAAATCGACGGACCAATTAACTAACGGTACCGATTTAATTTCAATTTGATAAACAGTTCGATTTACACAAGTGGACCATAATTCAATTAACCGAATCGTGGACACCCCTAAGTAACACTCCCAAGCCTACGACGCTTTTTCACTCTCGACAGACAGAACCCACAGCCTTCGGACCACGGCTCCAAATTCGGCAACAACAAAAATGATGAATTATATTTGTGAAAAGGGGGAAGTGGGACCCATGCCTATATTGCTAACAATTAGGAACCGCAAACAACACTTGATCGTGAAAGCGGTTGGTGTTGACGACAAAGCTTGTGACATGTGAGCAAGTGCTTAGGTGTAAAGCCACAAGGGGATGCGACTCATGAGAGCTTTCATGGGCCCACTCCGTCAACAAATTATTGCGTCCCTTTCTCCTCTAATCTTATTAATAAGCATGTCTTTCATACTTAACACCTCTGAAAATGATCCCGTAACCACTCCTCATTATTACTTTTTTTCTCCTTTTAATTTTTCAAATTGTTCCCGTAGTCTCTTTATTTCTGGATTTTTATTGAAACTCTGGTGTGTTAGTGAGGTAATACTGAATCATTTAAAAGCTTTGCCTTATATTAGATTGCAGATGCAGAGAACACCCTGGCAATGCAGGATTCAAAGCTCATAAGTCATAACATAAAATATTAACTTCAGGCTTCAACTGCTAATATAATAATAATTTGCACAAAATTTAATTAATGTAAGAACTTGAATAATTATAGATTTTGTTTAGATTATATTTGGTTTGAAGGAAAAGATAAGAAAATATATACAACATTTGTAAAGGTTTTCCTACTTTTTCCTTGAAACCAAATACACCATGAGAGTACATTCATGCAAACTCCACACTCCATAATCCCATATTTTATTGCAAAATTATGTTCTAGAATCTACACTTGGGTTGTTCACGAGTTCTTCTTCTAAACCACAATCCAATCTTTTAGTTTCTCTGTCGGGAGAGATAGAGAATTAAAAGTAGTATGATCTATAATGGCTGCATCGTGACAGATATCATGTTCCCTTCTGCTGTAAACCACTGAGCGATGTGTACGTGTGAAAGGTAAAATGGAAATGCCTAATCAAATAGCAACAAAAGAAATTCTCTCTCTCTTCTCTGGCCGATCATTGTGTCTGGTCCAACCGGTCCTTTGAGGTTTTGGGAGCCATGCATATATAGTTAGAAATTATCTCAATCATCCAAGGCTCCAATGTTTCGTTTTGTGGGAGCCGGGATCTGCTCACATCAAAATATTTTTCCAACATCGTCCGTGTCCACACATTTTTATCATAAGACCCATTATAATAAGATGTGCGGACACAATCATGTTGGAGTTTATTGGAAAAGTATTTTGCTATGAACAGATCAGCCCTTGTTTTGGCCTTTGGGGAGTAATTGGGTTTGGGTGCATGCCGTTTATATAATATACCCTATATCTACCTATTACAAACCCCTAAAATAAATATAGATAAAAGATGTCCTAGAAAGATTAATTAAAGCCACCTTCACCGTTACAAACAGTGGATTTTTTTGTCTTTTTATTAGAGCTTGCCTACTTTCATCAGGAGCATCTATCTTCCAAATGACTGACCTCTTTCTATTCTAATCTTAAAATACCCCAAAAGTGTCACTCGATGATGTCAATGGCTTTTGAAATGAAGCTTCACCCGTGGACGTAGGTGATCACTGGAGAAGAATATTAAGGACCAATTAGGAACTAATCAAGTTGCAACGTGGACAATTCTTCACCATTGAGGCTTCTCAAGAGTCAATATAAGAGTCGCATATGTTTTCCTTGCCCTCTCTTCCAGCTTTTTGCCTTTTTCTTTAAATCTTTTTTAGCAACACTAGTCAATAATTGCATTACATAAGAATAAATCAACTAAGGGTTGGTAGTTGGAATTGGAATCGGAATGATCTATTCCTATAGTCTGTTTGGTTCAGACAAGAATAGGAATGGGAATTAAAATCAATAGGAACGGAATTCCATTCTCAAGGGAGGGGCAGGACCATTCCCTCAAATAGGGGAATATTATCCCAGCATGAATGGGAATGGGATTCCGATTCCGCCCAACTAAACAATTAGAATCGGAAAATTCCAATTCCAGACCTCTATTCCTACAAACCAAATGGACTCTAAGAGTTAAAATCCTATTTCATACACTTACTAAAAAAAATAGATAGAAAAAAATATCCTACTCATAGAATTATGAATGGTTGACCTAGTCTTCGAGCTTAAATAATAGCTGGAAAGATATTTTGTCAATTTTCCAACAGTCGTCAAGAAGGAAAAATATCCCCAGAAATGTATCTTTTAGATATTTTAATGAATGGGTTTGAAGAACTGAAGCACGATAGCATAGTCATTAATTATTAAGCAATTGTTGTGAGAAAAAGAGAAAAAATGGGATTCAGTCAGTGCAAAACCCGTTCAAACAATCATCATAATCTTGTATTGGGAATATTTCCTCATGAAATAAAGCATAGAAATAATAAACATACAAGTAGGAAGATGTTCCCATGCAAGATTATTCGAACAGGCCTTGCACTGACTGAAGAGAGGTTTGATTGAGCGTGGGGTCAAAAGTTTGATGTCACGGCTTCATTGGTACAGTCCGACGTCCAAACTCCATAGCTACAAATAGTCACATACGCCTCAACGATGAGCTGACTCCATTGGAGGTACAGGTGGGTCACACTGCCATACCATCATTGGTGGGTCAATCCATGGGACAAACTGGCGTAGCTTAACTGTCAGCAACACGGCAGACTTTATCATGATTTTCAAAATCGGATCAGACCGGACAGTTAGACTGGAGACGGGAAAACCGGGAACCAGCTTTCGTTTTACCTAAAACCGTTTTTTAGCTAAAAATCATTTGAACCTTACAGTGGTTTTTGATTTTTTTGTCAGAATGGTTAACCTGTTTAGTTTGAATGGTCAGACCATTTGACTCAGAAACCAGACCCCTGAACGGTTCATTGTCTGGTTCGATTTTTAAAACTTTGTTTTATATTCTTAACCCAAGATCAAGATCTAGATAGGTGGAATATGATTTCAATAACACCACTTGCTATTGCTAAAGCTTCCATCAAGTATAAAGAATTTTTAAATTCAGAGGTTGATGGTATGAGAAGGAAATAAGAATGGAAGCAACCTGCAATAGAAGAACACATGTATAAAACAATTCTGATGGCAGAGCTTTAGTTTTAGTTTATTGAGTCATGGCCCCGAAACTGGCTCTTGAGAGCTATAAAAACCAGACCCCATTGTCCAAAGCCAAAGGGAACATTTAATAATATGTTACTGTGGCTGAGACTATAAATATTAGTATTATTAAATGATGCAAGCTGGATTACTGTTAGATGCTTACAAGGAGAGAAGGCCAATTGATAATGGAAAGTTGAATTTAAAGCATTTCCATTATTCTTTCCCCAACCAATCCATTTATGGTTAATTCACACCTAACCTCGAGAATTTGGAGAGAGAATTAGAGAATATGAGAGCTTCCTAATAGGATAGGTCTGCACTAACACAAAGAATGCAGTCATCTGAGGTCTGATGGAGATGAGCTTCTTCTCCTTGGATCCATCTTCCAACTCATTTGCCGATATATATCGCGAGATACTCTCTCTAGAGTCTAGAGTGTAGAGAAGGAGCTGTCACTACTCACTACTCACTCGCGAGGGCTGAGGTAGTGAGGGATCCATTACCATGCCCAATTTGTGTGGACTATGGACCCAGTGATAAAAAAGTATGCGGGCTTGCTATGCGTGTCAAGGGTCCCACCACAGGCCCACTGTACAGCCCAAATTAACAATCACTCCAGATGAATCTCTTTCCACTTTCGTCTGGGCCTGGGCCTGGGCCCTATCATCATTCAAGCTGACTAAGCCACAGATTCCTCACATCCTTATTAAAGTAACAAATCAAGCTTTACCTAATTGCTTCTTACTTTATTAAATCGAATCTTCTTGAACATATCTTAAAATTATATGTAGATATTATTTAGTAATATATATATTCCATCTTGAATTTGCACCCAAAGACATAATGTGATTTATAAAGGGAAAATACAGAGTCAATACTCAGTAGGAGTCGCCCTCCTTTTGTGTTCTGTTTTTTCACTCCTTCACTCTTCCCTTCTTACGTGAGAGAGATCCACGGTTGTGGAAAAGCAAAGTGCAGAGAAAGTGAGAAAGAGAAACTATCCAATTAAGCAATTCGATCAGCTGGATCTAACCAATGGTAGGTATAGGCGTATAGCAACAGACGGAAATAAAAAACGAAGGGAGGGACAAGAGGGATGACCCGAAAACGATGGGAATCTCATTCACTAGTTCAAACTTCAAAAGCAACCTCTTTTCATGCTTCATGTGAATTGTGAATCACATAAAATTTAATTTGACGGACAAATTAAATATGGGAAATTTTGGTTTACAAAGCCTTGCTAGTTTTCTTCCATTAATACTACGAAAAGAAAAAAAGTAAAACAAGAGAGAGAGAGAACTATAAGAAAAGAAAAGGAAAAGGAGGGAACAAGTACAGACATCAGGTTGTGTATGTTGAATGGATGGATCCACAAGAAAACCGCAGTTCCAAAGCTTGACTAGTTCCCATAAAAAAAGAGAGATTTTACGGCACCGGCCCCATCTTTACACATATTTGAGACGATATAATACGTATTACTACATATATAAAAGCGGGGTTGGATAGTAGCGATCGTCTCAGTTCTCTTCTTTTTTTTTTTTTTATTGATTTCTTATGGCTATGCGGCAGCTACCGTCTCTCCTTTACTGAGTGCTTCCGATCCTGATTTGGTCGCCGATGCATCTTTCTTAGATAACAAAGAACACTTCTCTTTCCGTTCGTCTTGATTCATCTGTTGCTGCCGGCACTCCAGACTGCAAAACGCGCTATCGCCTCTGAAAATTGTTAATCACAACATCAGAACCCAATCTCACTACGTACGTGGAGAATTGTAGGAAGAGTAAAATGCAAAGTTAATATTTTTTTATCATAAAAAATAAACATGATTTTGTTTAATTTTTTTTCTTTTATTTTTCTCTCACTGATTGAATAGTGGAATGGTGACGGTGATAAGTGGCAAGAAATGGGTTATTAGTTTGTTGTTCGAGTTAAATATCAGTCGAAACTAAAAAACGTAAAAATCGGAGAAAGTCGCCAAGAAATCAGGTAATCTAAGTATTACTCAGTCAGCTGGAGCATAACCGGAGTCCAGAAAACGAAATCTAACCATGAAAATATCCGGAAACAGAAGCAAACCAAGTTATTCAAAGAAGAATAATTTCATGCAGTGAAGCTTTCTCCAAGTGAGAGATCTATAATGAAATGAAGAGAGAGAGAGAGAGAGAGAGAGAGAGAATTTCCAACCTGCTCGGATTACATAAATGATGAACCGAAACTTATTTCAAGAAAAGTGTAAAGCACGCAGATTGGTTGATATTTGCTGGGAGAGAAAGAAAGAGAATATAGAGAGGGTATTAACCTGTACATGTAAATATCTCGACCAGGAGCCAAACGGCGCTTACAGAGACCGCAGGCCCTTAAGAAGTGAGCCGTCTCAACGAAATTAGCAGAATTCCTCCTGGGGTTTCTGGGTGAGACAGCAGATAGGAATCGGTGATCGATTCCGTCAGAACCCAGACCTCCTCCCGGTTGGTTTCTTCTTACATGAACCTCTTGGGGAACTGGCTTCTGCGCATCCTTTACGGAGTTCTGTAGATCGGATGGCACCGGAGCTTCTATGTTGCTTAGATCGACAGTGAATTCCGTCAAACTTGTCGTTCTCTTCATCGGAGGACGTGGACGCTTGCCCAGCAACATCTTCTCTAACTACTCTTGACACCGAAAACTAGAGAGAGAGAGAGAGAGAGAGAGGTGGTGTCTGGGCTAGAGGAGTGAAGAAGGAAAGAGGCCAAGAGGGGATGCGGAGAGACCGGGGAGGGGAAGATAAACGAATGGGCAGCAAACAAGGATCAAATCTGGACGGTCTGTTGGAGCCTTGCACAAAGTAAGTGCACGTCAGCATCTCCTTGGAAAAAAAATAATACATTTTCTCACGGAATGATTGAGCAGTGCGAAAAGCCGAAAATTAGAAAAAAGGGTCCCGGGTCCGGATCGAGTCCGGATCCGGGTTCATCCTTGATCAAATAGCTTACAGTAGTAATAGACAAGAAATAAAGAAGAAAGGAAAATTAGTGGCGATGAGGTAGCGCTGGGAAGTTGGAAGAAGTGGTGGTGTGGAATGAATTCAGTTGGAATGCTTTGTACATGAAAGACCGTGGATCTGGCGCAAATATCATTCTTATTCCTTTGAAAATTGAAATGTAGTTGGGAATGGGAGGGACTGTTGATGGAATAGAATCAGAATACAAAATTACAAGTCATTCATTAACCCACATCACCAGATTCTATGAAACCATGCTTGGTTAGACGATGGACCATGGTTGGGGTTTGCCAGGGTGTAATGCCTTCTTTATAAAAGTTCTAATCTAGTGGCCACAATACATTGCGGGCCATATTCATATCTAGTCGCACATTGAGAACATCTCTTCTTATATTTTGTATCACTGATATTCCAGATGTTATGTCGGTTGGAGGCAGATGATGCCTTCCATTTTAGTGTTTTTATGACTTTTGTGCTGTTTGCACTGATCAAGTGATGTTCTACCCAAGTTCATGGGGGGCTACTTTTCGTGCATTGATTAATGAATTGTGTGCCTTGTGGCTTCCAAGATAGAGAGATACAACTACAAGTTGCTGGTTGCTGGTTCCAGGCTCCCTCCCAATCAGTAATTTCAGTACTCAGTTCAGTTCATGTGTGATGTGTGCGGTGGATCGAATCTAAATGAGCTGAGCTGAGATGACTTGCTCCCTCCTCAGTCCTCTCTGTCTCCACCCTCAAAATTGTTAATAATCCAGAAAAATAAGGCTAAAAATCTGCAGATTTGGGGATTTAATTAGATTGAATGGGGTGGCCTTTCTTAGGAGTTAAACTTGGAAACTCATCAACTTGCACACGGTGCCATTATTATTTCCCCCTTGGATTCCAGTTGGGTAAGACATTGAAAAGGACACCTAGAAATCGGAAGCTGGTTTTCCCATGTATCACGTATGTGGCGTATTTGGCTAAATTGTGAAATTTGATTGATTGAGAGAGAGAGAGATTCACTCCATCCTCAAGATTCCAAATAAACAAAGACAATCTTAACTTGTAAGTAAAAATAGATTCTAAAACTAACCCAAATTGATGATTCATAAATAGAGTATAATTCGCTTATGGCCCATGAAAAAAGGTGGGTAGGATCGTAATATATGTAAAAGAGAGTAGATTGATTATTCCACACTATAAGTCAATAACTGATTTGGACGGTAATCCTTAATCATAAGGTTTAGTTTAGAAAGAATACAAATATGTATGTACAATATAAATATATTGCAAAATAATACAAAATTTCCAATTGAGCCTAAATTGCAATCCCAAACCTGACATTAACCTGCACCGTTCCAAAATTGCAATTAATATATGTCTGATTTTATTTATTTTTTCAACTTTGAGGGGGCTTTGTTGAGAAGTAATTGCCCGTCTCTAACTCAACAAATCAACAACACATCAAGATTGACCCTCCTTAGTCTTTCTCCTTCCCCTTCTCCACTTGGCTTAATAAGATAGTAAAGCTGAAAGGGAATGAACAGATGGGGTGGGGCTGGGATTATATTTATACCTCGGTTTGAGCGTCTCTTTGTTTGGCAATTGGCACTAGCTTAGCTAGTTGAAAATTGAAATGATCTCCACACCCAACATCCAACTTTTGTTTGCTGGCAATTGGCACTCCCACGGTCTCAACTGGAGGGTGGTTTTTACTGCATTCTCTACAATGGTTGGTCGGTTGCCTTACTGTTCTTCATTTATTTGCTATATATGAATGATTGTTGCGAGACGAGGCGTGCAATTCTAGGCGATAATTTGAATACTGAGAATTAAAGAGCAACTAAATGCTTGTCAAAATGTCTCAGTACAAGAAAAGAAGGAGACCTGGTGGAGTAGTGATCAGTGGCTCCATGAGAGCGTGATGAGTCAAGACTCAAGACTCATGTTCTTCTCTCCTCAACCATGGACTGTGAACTCTCACTGTCAATGTGTGAGTATGTCTCAACCCCTACCTACCTCCTTGGCCCCAATTCCTGTATTTATTATTTTTAAAGAAAAAGTAAAGAAGAAGAAAACCTTTTAAGTTTTGAAATTCTGATAGCCTGCACTTTTGAGTTCAGATCTGCGCCGCTCAACGTTCCACAGTATATCTCCGCTGGGTATTAGAAACATCTCCTCATAATAATATCATATCATGGGTTGGTTATAATACTATCATATCATCGAAAGATGTTTCCAATACACGGCGAGCATGTGTTGTGAGATGTTGCGACCCCCCAACTCTGTACTTCTGGACATGGGGAATGTACCTAAAATCGACCCACTGCCACTGGTCCCTTTCCCTTTCCCCTTGTGGCTTGTGCCAATGTGCCAATGTGCCATGCCATGGCTAATTTTTAAAATTTTGCATTTTCAAAAATGTAAGACAGATCCCTTTGTCGTTTCACTGTGTTCGAAAGGACAGTGGAATGCCGTCCTTAAAGCCTCAGCCATTGGATTGGAATTTGGAATTTGGAATTAATGAAGTGGAAGTGTACAAACTACAGCATGACATCCATGCAACAGCCAACGGCATCTGTTCTGACTTCTTGGGGGGTTTAGCCAGCCTAAAACAAATCCTGCTAGGCTGAGAGTTGACAGCCCTATTACGCTCTAGCTATTACTCATCAGAAGGTGGTATGCTTGTAGGGATGGAGAGGCTATATGTTTTGTTCAGTGGATTCAGTACATAACTAATTGGGACTTGGGAGGCAGTGTGCCAAATCAGCAGGGGCACCCTTCGTTGGGTTCTAAGTTTCAAGTCATTACCGAGCAGGGATTAGCTCTTTATCAGCAGTTTGGGGAACCAATGGTAGTGTTTTAAGTTAGTAATAAAATACATGGGGAAGCTTTTATAATGGGGCATATGAATTCATTAATTACTGGCATGGAACATATTCGTTAGTTCCACAGAACAGCCATCATATTATTCATATTCAGCTAATCCAAATTCGAGTGGTTCATTGATGGAATAGGTGTATTTAAAAATTAAAAGTAAAGCTCAGCTCACCACCTCTCCACTTATTGCGTGGGGTCCTTAATTTGTGAGATCACATCAGCGCCCACAGGGGAACACCTCTCGTACCCCACAGCCACCTCACATTCAGCGTCCATTGGAAATCACATTCAGCGTGATTTCAAATATCTAGCTAATTTTGAATCATTTGATACGTGACCACTTTCCAACCTCATAATGACTCGCTAGTATACACTTGTTTTTATAAAGAGGGAAACAAAAACAAAACAGGAAATTAGGATTGGAAAGAAAATACAACTTCCCCACCTTGTCCAGATGACTCTCTGCTTATTACTGAAAGAGGAATGGAAAGTAGAAACGTCGGTCATCAGAAAGAAAAGCGAGGACGCCCCCCCCCCCACCACCTTGTCCAGATGTCTCTCTGCTTAGGCGCGAGCTCAAGATGTACAACACTAGCAA